TCGCCCTTGTCCTTGCCCCCATGGGCGCGCTGGCAGCGTCTCTCAATTGCCAAACCGTGGCTCCGCTCAACGTCCACTGCTGCGCGTCGACTTCCTCGGAAATCGTCGAGACGGTGGCGCCGAGCAACACGGTCATGTTGGGCTGTGCCGACGATATGGGCAATGGGTAAGAGTGCCAACGTCCCCCAATGTCCACAATCATCAGACTAACAGTCATGTTATAGTTGGTTCCGCAACCACGCGGGTTTCTACGCCCAAACGGCTTCCCTCGTGGACAACTGCGTCATGGTCGAGAACGGAGTGGCCGTCGGCACCGACTCGCTGCCCAAGTGTGGCATCGAGACCCATGCCGCTGCGGGTCTCACCAGGAACGGCACCGTCCAGATCGCCGCGGCTTGTGATGCCCAGTGCGTCACCAACGGGAAGGCGGCCAGCACGAAAAGAACCGTCCGAATGACGCTGCGCAACTACGGCGCTGCCTATCACAATACCACTGGTGGTTTCCGTCGTTATGTCAACGGGACGCATCAGTACTAGACAACGAGCGTGTGAAGCACAAGGCGGGTAAGGGGGATACGACTATGTTCTACAGCTTATGATTCACGATGTTGACAATGTTTGCTGGTTGTTGGTGGACTGGTGTTTTGCTACAGGCGGAATTCAGTTTACTACCGAGTCCAAAGGCCCGGGAGCAGGTGTTGGGGTGAGTCATGAGGACTGGTTGGGGAGGAATGGAATCGGACAGAATCCGTGCTTACCTAGTCTTAGTCTATACCGTCAAAATAACCAAATAGTCCATTGAAACCCAGGGTTATATCCCCGTGATTGTGATCGACAGCCCAGATACCCAACCTGAACCGGCAAACTTTATCAAGGAAGTTCCTTGCTCCCCACTCAACCATACACATCTGAATGAGGTGGTCTCCTGCAGGAACAGCTCGTCAATCGGTCGTTTATCCCCGTTTCACCAATCCCTTGATAAAAGTCGAAAAAACGAAGACAGTCGATCCGGGCTGGTCCCGACTGGGATAGTATATTAACAAGGACAATACCGGGCGGGGACTTGGCATCTGCCCGTCTGCCAACTTCCATGCCAACTTTGCGGGACGGGAATATTGTGGTTACCTTATTTAGCCGCGCCACATGATGCTGCTTAAAAGGCCCCCAACCACCAACCCTGGATAAGCCGTTATCTCTGCTGCTGCTCTGTCACTGGTTTGACTTCCCGATACTGCACTGAAGTGATAAGCTCAGTGTCAACGGTCGGCTAATGTCGCTTCGCGCATGCGCTTGGTGTTGACGCAACAGCCGCCGCCAGGTGTGATTGTGAACACAGATCCATTTTTGGTGTCGTGATGAAACAGGTGCTCAGGAAAAGATATAAAAACCGTGAAACATAAACACTCTTCGCTTCTACTAGGTAGACAAGGCAGGTAACTTGTACTGTAAAAAAAATGGATCAGTTGTCTTTTTTTTTTTTTCTTGTTGGAATGTCGAAACCCGAAGTATACCTCCTTCAAAATGCTATTCCAATCTTTTTCTCATGAAAAACTCCGACCCTCCGCCCCCGGGATGGGGTCTGCTAATACTCGAAAATTCTCTAGGGTTGAAATCGCCAGTTTCGATTTACAAACTCCACATATTGATGTGATAGACCGCTGACTAATGGGCTCGAAAGGGAAGGTGTAGAACCAACACTCGTCAGCTTTGCGTCGTACTGCATCCATCGGACTTACGTATAACGTACATGTACCGAAATGAGTCAAACGTCGAATTTCATTCCTCTTCTGTGACTCTTATTTTGTCGCGGTGATAGGATCACAGATTTCAGTCGGGTCTCGTTGAACTCCGAGTCATCTCTGCCACAACGAGCAACCAAATTAAAACAGAAATCGACCATCGTTCTCTCTCTCAAGGCCCTATTACCGGTTAATGAGAAGCACCTTATTTGCACCACTGTTAGAGATAGGTAAGTACCTTACCTACTGATTGATTTCAGATGATCACAAGAAAACCTTCGCGCCGAATAAGTGCTAACAAATATCACCAGCACTCAATTCAACAATGGAGTCCATGGCCAGAACCTTTGCAACGGCGTTCCGCTCACCGCGCCTCGTCTACCGCTCAATCGAGGACACCGACGCGGACAGAGACATGATCGCAACCACCCTCGAAGACCCCGTGACCCACGGCTTCCGGCACAGCGGCATGTTTGCCCCCGGGTCTCGGACGAGCAGCAGAGAAATCATTGGGCGAATCACCAAGTCTGCGTTATTGGCCGTCCTGATCTGCCTACCACCGCCCGACTCCTCCAACCCGTCTGACGGGCCAGGCACGGAACTCGCCCGCGCCCAGGCCAAGGGCGTCCCCATCGGGACGATGGTCTTGTTTCCGGGCAAGCACGCGATCGCTAGAATGGCGTTCATCAGCCTCGCGTTGCAGGAGAAGTACCAGAATAAAGGGTACGGCGCCGAGGCGATCAATTGGCTCCTGGACTGGGGGTTCCGGTTTGGCGGGCTGCATCGGATCGAGATTGGTGCTGCGGCGTATAATGACCGCGCGGTACAGGTGTATGAGAGAAAATTGGGCTTTAAGAGAGAAGGGGTTAGGAGGGAGGCGATCTGGATGGATCGGAAGTGGCACGATATTGTCGAGTTTGCGATGTTGGAATGGGAGTGGGAGGAGTTGAGGGGACGGCGGCAACTGGAGGGGAACTCGAGTGAGAGTGGGAATTAGTATGGTGTTGTGGTGGGAAGTGGTTCGTCTTGGGTTATACAGTGGAATGGGCTTTGGAACTGATGGAACTCCTTGGTATTGACCATTTCAGCCTGGAGGCGGGTCTATCTCTGACCGGTGCGGATGGACTGGGAGAAAAGGCACAGAAATATCGTGGTTGGTGGCGTAGCTGAGTTTGTCAGGTCAGTTTGTTCGCTGCTGCTGAAACGTTCGTCTTATAAATCACGATCTTTAATGTCTATCCTTAACTTTACTAAGGCGACACGCAACATCGTCAAAGTGATTATTATCGTTTCGCTCGCATGCGGACAGGGATTTATGACGATGATCAGTGATTGGCAGCATCGTTCCCATGTTGCATCGTGTCTTTCAGTTGTCAATGTGGCTTCCCAGATGCTCGTTGTCGTAATTTATGAACTGAGGGACCTTGAAGTGGACTGATGAGCTATCTGTTGAGCTTCCGTTAGGTCATGATCATCAAGTCACGATCATACACCATGCAGAGGACAGGGACTGGAACGGGAATGGAGCTGTGGCACGGAATATAAGCTTTCTAGGCAGCGAATTACGTGACACAGCATTATTTCATGCCTGTCAAGGAATCCAATCGGTCTAATTTATATATGAGTAAGTAAGCTGATGACAAAGGCGCTTCGGTTAGAATTTAATTGCGGCGTCAAGCGAATCGCAACCATGCCAGGATGATCATCATCTTTACGCATCGGCTCACGAATTTCTCAATCCCTAGATTCCTGTATTTGGCAACATTCGGTTTGTTCAGAGGCTGGTTTGCTCAGTCAGCTGGCTACCGAGGTGTCTATCCGGTCAAATACCAGCTGAGCAAGAATATTATTCATGACGCTGTTACCAGGCTGCATTTAGATGTGTTCAGCCATGGTAGGAGTACATGGGTTCTAAAGACAAGTACAAAAGAGACGTGAAATCCGACCCAACAATAGTTTCCAGATGTGATACGCTGGTCCAAAATTCCCAACATCCAACGCTACAGCATCACCAAAATTCTCCCTTCCTTTTCACATTTTCTTACGAGATCTATTACTCATCACCGCCACCATGCAACTCCCAACGCTAAAGATCGCGGCTTTTCTTGCTGCTGCCTTGTCCTCTATGGCCACAGCCACCGTTTACACGGGGACTATCATGACATCGTCCGGTAACGGGTATTACTACGGGGTATGGAATTATGCATGGTGAGTAATCAGAAGCGAAAAGGTCCTCTGTTCCCGAAGCCTGTAGTGGTCTTATATCCTGTCTCAGTTGGGTCAATATGGCATTAGACGGGGCCAAGCTTGCTAACTGCCAGTGTGATCTCCCTTGGATGATGTAGGGTTAACGGGGTAAAATTGGATACCATCTGTCCACCAAACATCCAACATGACCACATCATATCTTCACCGAACGAGAACCCGTGTGGCAGGAACTTCTGTGCCGCCCCAGGAAACTGCGGGTACGAGCTCCGGGGGTGTGGCGGCGACCTCCAGCTCTACAAGGACGGCAAGTTCAACAGCAACTGTCATTACGAGAAGAAGAAAGTCGGCTGTCCCCATCAACCCGAGGTTTATATTCAACAGAATTGGGCTTGCTACTGAGGACTCAGATAGATAGTGGGGACTTGAGCAGACGCCGAGACGGGAAGAGAAAAAGGGGAAGCCAGCCAGCCAGATAGACAGACAGAGACAGAGAGACAGAGTGAGTGAGAGAGAGTGAGTGAGAGTGAGAGAGAGAGAGAGAGAGAGAGAGAGAGAGAGAGACAGAGAGAGAGAGAGAGAAAGAGAGAGAGAGAGAGAGAGAGAGAGAGAGAGAGAGAGAGAGAGAGAGAGAGAGAGAGCGAGCGGGAGAGAGCGGGAGAGAAAGCAACAGCGGGTTGGGCTGACGTGATGATCAGGCGAACCCCAACCAGCACATGCAAGCTACTGCCTTGTCTATCGCTGAGCATTGGTGACCTAGCGGAAAGATGAATGTGGTCGAGCCCTTCAGTGCCGGTCAATAATGTCGACACGGAGAGGATTTATAACCAGGTACTGAGTTTGTTCTTCATCCAAACACGGGAAATGGCCTCCGTCAGGTGCAATCTCTCCACGGCCCATTACCTCCCTCCTCGGGCAGGCTTCATCTACCATCTACTCGTTCCAGCTAGCCAGTCTTTGAGAAGATAAATCAGCCAACGAGCACGGGCATTAACACACCGAAAAAACGGATACCAGTTGAGGAAGGCAGGCTGAAAAAAAAGAAAGGAAATTGAGTGATCGTGCTCGTACTCGAACCGAGATACCTTGAACCGACTTAGGCGTTAGGTAGGCTAACCTTTAGCGCGCTCAACTTGTTTGTTTGCTAGGGAAACCATCGATCAAGTGTAATGACCGTTATACCACACGACCACATTAATTTTGGTTCATTGACTCTTTTTGTTTGAGATTGCGCAGCGCACGACGTTCTTATATACGGGGCTGCCCAGAATTAATGTCCCACATTTTCTGCACTAACATATATGCTCCTGTATTGCGCCGCAGACTGGTAGGCTGTAACCCGTTGACAACCCACACTCTTAACGATTTGAGCAGCAGTTTTGTATGTTTAACGAGAATTAGTTAGACAGAGAGGGTGGCAATTGTTGATTCAGAGCCCAACACTTGCTCAGCCAAAGGATTTTATTTTGGAACCTGCCTCGTCTACTCGAAACTCGGAATGCCTCTGTCTGCCAGGTGCCAGGTGCCGACAGAAAGGAGTGGGACCCACAAACCCACAAACCTGACAGTCCAGCCTCCGTGCCCCGCAATACAGCGGAAGCGGCCGCCCGCCCGCCCCCCAGCCGAGTCCGAGGCGGATCCCTGGTTTCCGGTACCTAAATTCCCTGCCGTTAAGCCGTACTACAGTAGGGTACAATGGGACGAAACAATTCCAATCTTTCAGACGACAAACCCAGAGCGAAATATCTTGGTGTAAGGATGGAAATCTGCGTCCAATCAAACCGCCAGGAACATCCCGACCGGGCGGTCCAGATTCGACATTAGGGGCGTAAGTTAGTGAGCCAAATTTATCGATAGCTCGCATTCCGGACAAGGGTTGATCACAGCCAACGGCAGGGAGGAGCAGATCAGATTGCTCTCAGCTGAAAGCGCCCCTATCTCGCTTTCCTTTGCTCGTCAGCGTATCCTTCCTTTTTCCACTGCCCTTCATGATGATTTGAACCGCAATTTCCCTTCTTTTTCTGTCGTTGATTCATTTATCACGAGTAGCAGCGCGGTGCATTTCCGCTGCCGAGTCGCCGCCGCCGAAATGGCCCCTTTACTCTCGCTGAACCCGACGAACCTGCGACTCGCCGCGCTGACATTTATGCTCCTCCTCGCGGTCCTGTGGACGTTATCAGCCAACTCCAACAACGTATGTTTTGCGATGCGATGCGCGCACTGCATTGCAAATTCGGGTCCACTAACCGACAGGAAATAGTCAGAAACAGCTTTCGATATCACAAGTCCCGATGCGCCGGTACTCGCCAAGCCGGATAATGATGTCCCCCCACTGAGTGCTACCGGCGTGGTTGCGCCGTCGTCACTACCATCTCCATCGCAGGTCCCGGTCGACCCCTTCGTTCCTCCGCCCGAATTGAATCCTCCACCCGACGCCGGCGACCTGCTCCCTCCCGACCTGCTCCCTCCCGACCTGCTCCCTCCCGACCTGCTCCCTCCCGACCTCGCACAACCGCCGTCCCCCGACGGCATCAACATCATGCCGAGCGGCTTCGAGCCACTCCCAACACCACCACCCAACCCAGATAACCTCCCTCCCCTCCCGACGCACCCCGACCCGTCCCTCCCTCCGCCTCCCGAAGGCGACCTGGGCCCTGATGGCCTGATCCACATCCTTCCGGTGCAGGATGTATCAACACCAGAAAATACGACCACTGGTTCTGGTAAAGGCCGTCTGCTGATCGTGTACGCGTACGCAGAATCGGAAGCGGCGCGCGCGAACCTGGCCTATTTTGTCGAAAAGGGCCTTCACGGCGCCGCCGATTTCGTGTTCATCTTCAACGGCAACGCTTCTGCGGCCTCTCTGGTGCCGGCGCTGCCTAATGTTCGGACGGTCCACCGGGAGAATACCTGCTACGACCTCGGCGCGATCGGTGAGGTTTTGAGGGATGGCGATCTTTGGAAGCAGTACTCGCGGTTCATTACCATGAATGCGAGCATTAGGGGTCCGTTCTTGCCTGTCTGGAGTGCTGGCACCTGCTGGTCGGATTTGTATCTGAACAGGGTGACGGATAAGACCAAGGTAAGCTTTTCATCTTCTTATTGGGGGATGTGGTGCTAACGCTGAGGGAAAAAGTTGGTCGGCATGACGCTGAACTGCAAGCCGCGACCGCACGTGCAGTCGATGATCTTTGCGACGGACGCAATTGGCATGGCCGTCCTGCTGGATCCAGCGCAGGCGGTGGCCGCGTCGGTGGATGATCAGTTCGGCAAGAGTACGGATCCTGTTGGGCTGAGCGGGTGCTATAACTCCCACAATAGTGCTGTGCACGCCGAGGTGGGCACGTCAGGCCTGATCACGGCTGCTGGGTACGAGTTCGATGCCATGATGGCCGCGCTGCATTCGCATGCTTCGCCTGAAGAGTTTTGCACGGCCAACCCCGACGCGGGCGATTTGCTCTTTGACGGGAGTTACTTTGGGAGCAATGTCCACCCGTACGAGACGGTGTTCATAAAAGCGAATCGGAATATTGATGGAGGGTTGTTGACGCACCTGACGGAGTGGCATATGAGTATGAAGACTACTTCGTTTGATAGTTGCGGTGTGATTTGAGGCCCATGAGTTGGATGAAAAGGACAATGTTGGAAGGTAAAGGGGACGAGGAAATTGGCTTGACCCCGGGGCTTTGTTTTTCCTCGGTGGCTCGGTCCTCGGTCTTCTCAGCCAGCCGAGACACCAGCAGGAGGGTGGCGATGCACACGACGTCGGAGGACTTTTGATGCCGGGGGGATTTTGATGGAAATGCAGACTTCCCGACAGTACGGACGTCCGTCATAGACGCTGGTCTGACAGTGTCACCACGCCTGTCGTGACGGACGGGTAACAGCCCGCCACCCGCCGGTGCAGTGATAACAGACACAGGTACATCACCTGTATGCATTCTGCAACCCCTTTGGTTACCACGGCCTTGCAGTGGGTCGTGTTGTTGGTCATGGCATGGCTGGATAGGTAAGGTACCTACGCACGCCTTGAAAGGATGCGGGTTTGGATGTATAACTCCAGGGGTTCTTCAGAGACGGCCTATCTTGATTGTAGATGAAGAAGAGCTGTGTAGTGCTAGTAGGATATGTGTGTGTAGCAATAGTAAACTAGCTTATATACCACAACTACGAGATTAGGAATCACTACGCGGTGTTTGATACTTACGGGTATGTTATTACATTCTAGAGTGGTATAAACGTGTCTAAGCATTACAGTGCGGTGTAATTTTCTCCAAGTCATGTATTTCCCTAGTATGTAGGTAATCATGTCAAGCTCACTTGCCTGAACCCGTGTGGCCACCAGCAACATGATCTGACTCTATTAATAGCTCTATACAGTCATGAATCGCTACCCATCTTCATATAATCGTGATTCATACACATTTTTGGTCTCTTTGTATCGTTCATAATGCATCATGTTCCATAAACCTGAACCTGTCCTGATGATTCTACTCCTAACCTCTTGCTCCTATCTGTCTATTTGGCCTTATCTCCTCTCGGTCGAATACTAATCATAATGACCGCTCTCAACATACCCCTGATACTCCAGTCTCGGATCAAGTGGCGTGTTATCATCGATATGGTGAGCATGAGATGGGCCCTCACGACTAGCATAATGCGGTTGTTGACTGCTCGCCGCAAAGTTCTGTGGTGACGGTCCGGCTCCGGTATTGTGTGGTGGTGGTCCAAAGTGGTGCTGGCGATGATGTTCTTCGTCCACTGGGGATCTCGAAAATCCGACAGGGGCAAGTAGTAGATTATTGTTACCGCCAGAGTTGTTGACGTGTATGTCCGGTGGAGGAAATGGTGACGGTCCCGGGATTACTCCTCCTGCAGTTCTTTGTGACGCTCTCGACTCGTTGCGTCGGCGTCGTGCGTGGGTGCGCGCGTTGAGCTGGATGGCTCTCAGGCCTGCGGACATGCACTGTTTCTCACAACAGGAAGTTGTTAGCAAAATCACTCTAACAAGTTGAACTATTCGTAAATAACAAATATTTGCCTGAGCCTCGACAACATGCCATCTCTCCCCCACTCTCGCAGCAAGCGGCGACCAGATCTCCTTCCGCATGTCCATGTACTCGTGGGCGACCCGCTCGAGCCTAGTCCTGTCGAGATCGTACATGCCTTTGCGCTCCATCAGGCGTTCGTAGCGCTTGCGGCACGCGTTGGCTGTCTTGGAGGGAAAGTGAGTCCGCTGGATGTTGGCCCAGTGGCGACCCTGTCCTCGAGCCGTCATGAGGGTTCTGTCCTCCATGGCGGTCCATGTGCCGTAGTTGTATGCCGACTGGGGGTAGTCCGTGAAGCTGGATGGGCTAAAGGGGCTGCCGGTTGTTGTTGGCATGTTGTTTGTCGAATCTGGTGCCGCCGCTGTAAGACCAGAGGACATGTGGTTCGGGTTTGGGGTCTGTTCTCCTTCTGATTCCGAGGTTGCGGACATGTTGGCTCGGTGGTACTCGTGCTGGGTCGGGGCTGTGGGTAACTCGTCCTCAGGGACCTCAGGGGGGTATTGCCAGCCAGTTTCTCTGTTGTTTTGTTGGGCATCTCTTGCTGTCGTGGAGAATAAGTTCGACCGGTATTCTCCTGCTGCGAGGCCGGGACTGATCGGATAGGTGCTGTACCTAAAATGACCTGGGGTTGGTGTTTGTTGACGTTCAGGGGCAAAGAACGTATGTCTCGGCACTCCAGCGTCGGCCTGGTTCATCGTGACGGAACACCCGATGATTGTGGCTCCGACATAGAGTCTTATTCCGGAGAGTAGATGGCTCTTTTCTGAAAACTCTTTCGCCTTAGGATCTGCGCCGCTGGCCAGCTTGGGATGTCAGAAGCCAAGCGGTGATATCGCCACCGGAAAGCGCCGGCGATGATGAAGATGAGATAATCTTTTAGCTCTTCTGCATCGGAAAAGTGCCGCGGGATGTTCTTCTGCCTGGTTTAGGGGGGTGCATTGTTTGAGACAGGCAGCAGACAGCAGGTTGGCAACCCGTAATGCATCCGAAGAGTGCGCTGCTTGCTGCACATATGGTGCGACACTGGCATCCGACAAAAGGCAGCTGGTCTCGGTTCTGCCTGCACAGATCAAATGCTTAGCTGCTCTCCTGCATCAGGCTTGCGTGGATCATCCCGACAGAATGCGGCCCATCTTGGGGGCC